ATATTGCAACCAACCGGTTTGTTTAAAAGTGTGTGTGTGTGCGCTTTGCTTTTAGTATAGGTCCTATTGACTTTGATAGCGAAAAAAATCCACTCTCCATACATTAACACTTTTTTTAATGGTAGCCTAGTATGGTATAAGTGTGCGTGCTTTGCTTTTAGTATAGGTCCCATTGTATTGTTTTTGATTATATCTAATGGCTTTATTAGGATATAGATCTATATACTAGAAACAAAAATATTTCTTTAAAAAAAATCAATTGATCTGTTTTTTGTAGTTTTTGTTTTATTTGTTTGTTTGTAATGTGATGCATTGCAGTGGCGTAGCATCCATGGCGCGAAGAGGTCCAATGAACCCGGGCCCACAAGCAATAGGGGCCCACAGCTGTGGCGTAGCAACCATGGCGCGAAGGAGCTCATTACGCTTGGGCCCATGCCTCAAGGCCAGTTGGAGCCCACATTAGAACTTAGGAAGAACATTTGTTTGTTCATTTGAAACACTTTTAAGTAGTTTAACTCTGTTAAAAAGTTGTAAAAACATTGACTTTTAAGACACTATTACTTCTATGCAGTCCTAACTGAATCCAACGTTATGACATAATTACTTATTTTAAAAAAGGTACGATCTTTACATTGGAATGTCTTTACATTTAGTTTACTCATTTTTTGTCACACACTAAATTTGTCTTATTGGCTGGAGAGGAGCCCATCAAGATGTTCTTGAACCCGGAGTACTGGTGTGATATTTACTTGTGTAGCAGGCAGTGGTTACGTCCTATAGTCCTCGCAGTACTGGTGTGATATTTACTTGTGTAGCAGGCAGTGGTTACGTCCTATAGTCCTCGCAGTACTGGTGTGATATTTACTTGTGTAGCAGGCAGTGGTTACGTCCTATAGTCCTCGCAGTACTGGTGTTATATTTACTTGTGTAGCAGGCAGTGGTTACGTCCTATAGTCCTCGCAGTACTGGTGTGATATTTACTTGTGTAGCAGGCAGTGGTTACGTCCTATAGTCCTCGCAGTACTGGAGTGATATTTACTTGTAGTAGGCAGTGGTTACGTCCTATAATCCTCGCAGTACTGGTGTGATATTTACTTGTAGTAGGCAGTGGTTACGTCCTATAGTCCTCGCAGTACTGGTGTGATATTTACTTGTAGTAGGCAGTGGTTACGTCCTATAATCCTCGCAGTACTGGTGTGATATTTACTTGTAGTAGGCAGTGGTTACGTCCTATAATCCTCGCAGTACTGGTGTGATATTTACTTGTAGTAGGCAGTGGTTACGTCCTATAGTCCTCGCAGTACTGGTGTGATATTTACTTGTGTAGCAGGCAGTGGTTACGTCCTATAGTCCTCGTAATACTGGTGTGATATTTACTTGTAGTAGGCAGTGGTTACGTCCTATAGTCCTCGCAGTAATGGTGTGATATTTACTTGTGTAGCAGGCAGTGGTTAGGTCCTATAGTCCTCGCAGTAATGGTGTGATATTTACTTGTGTAGCAGGCAGTGGTTACGTCCTATAGTCCTCGTAATACTGGTGTGATATTTACTTGTGTAGCAGGCAGTGGTTACGTCATATAGGCCTACATCTACAGTCTCTGGCCATCACCTAAATTAAAATTTAACTTAACACTAATAGTCCAATATTTAAACTACATGCTTACATATTACTTCCTAATGTGTCTTTAAACGAATCGATATTAATGAATAATGTCGTTTTATCCCGTGCTTTTTAGAATGTGCGCTTATAATACTGTCTCTAATTCAGTCACAAGAAGCACTGGCACTTGATTTCCAACATCAATTCGGTCCAACACCAAGCCGTGTTTATGCCATCTCCCATTTAGTTCGAGCCTGTCACACAAGTCCTGGGTTGGATCCCCATACTAAATGAAATATAGATGTTAAATGTTTTCTTGGAGGTTCAGCGAGTGCCTATTTAAATTATTCCGATAGCGGATTCCAGCGGTGTTTGATTTTGAAACCAATACTATGCCAATGCCCATACATTCTCATCGTATGACCTCAAAACCATCCATTCGAAGTTTGTTTGTTTCTTTGTTTTCTTGCGGTGCTTGATTTTGAAACCAATACGATGCCAATGCCCACACATTCACATTGTATGACCTCAAAACCATCCATTCGAATAACTTTTTTTTTTTAAAAAGGTACTATCTTTACATTGGAATGTCTTTGCATTTAGATAACTCATTTTTGTCACACACTAAATTTGTCTTATTGGCTGGAGAGGGCCCACCAAGATGTTTTTGAACCCGGGCCAACGGGTACCTTGCTACCCCACTGATGAATTGAACTGGTCGTGCACATCTTGGTAGGCCACTGCGTGCACTGTTCTCAGCGCATAGACCAATTCACAGTGCGAACTCGTTGCCAAGAAAGCCTCAAACAGAATCATGTTTAAAGAGGACACAATCAGTCATATCGGCCTACTGTCCTCGTTACGAAATTTACGTATTTCACGAATAAAGTAATTTCTTCATAAATCCAATTCTAATTGTTACTATCAAAACAAAATAACACTAAGAACATAACATTTAATATGATATTTAATTCTCATATATCTTATCATATAAATTACTTTAATTATCATATTAAATTTCTTTAAAAGATATGATAATAACGTCCTACGTGTATTTAATAAAACACTCTGAAAGACACAAAGATAAAGGCACATTCCTCGTCCCATATGCTAGGACTAGATCTGAGCTTTGGGATGGGCGGGATCACACACTTTGATCGGCAAGCGGATATGACATCATATAGTTAGTCACTCCGTCGACTGTAGCAGACTTTTATTCAAGGCGTGACCGTTAGAAAGCCGGGACAAGTAGACTCTCAATCCTTTTAAAGTGCTAATCGCAAAGGGTTGGGGAGGGGGGGGGGGGCGACAAATAGGACCATTTATAAGAGATATCAAAATTAGCCTGTTATGAAGATAATAGTGTGAGCAGGGAGCTAATCACGTTTAACAAGGAGACTGGGGCAAAGATGGAAGGGTAGCCTTCAGAGTTTTTTTAAATTTTAAATTAAGAAAGAATAATTTTACTCACTGTAAAAAAAAAGAAAAAAAAAGACGTTTCTTAAAAATCTATTTTTTTATTAAATCTTAAAAATTGTTTTTGGTTTTCCCTGTTTAAAAAAAAGCACAAGTATATTTCAATATCAGTTTCTTCACAATCTTACAGTTCAGTGGCCTAAACTTGGCCTGACTACGGCCAACGTGAAAATTGCATTAATTTCTTCATATAGACAAAGAGATGGACAAATGCCGCATGCCAAAGGATTTTTTTCGCGACCTAACAGAAATGACTCCCAGGAGAATAGCTCAGGAGTCAGCTTGCCCTCTCTGGCATAGAGGAAAGAAGCTGGCAACAAAATTACCTCTAAAACAGACGGCTGGAGAAATGTCGCGATGATCGCTAGACACACATTGAGATCCAAAATATATATAAAAATCTTGCAAAAGACTGGCGCAGACGGCGGAAAGATAGCTTAAAATAGACCACTGACTGACTACGGCTTTGTTTACACCAGCTTAAAAAGGGCCTTGGCTCTAATGGCTTCGTTTACATCAGTTATGGCAAAATATGCAGGTCGCAACCGGGTCTCCGCTTTCAGCTGAACTACCGAGCTTGTCTTTATATATCATCGGACTAAAGACAATGCCATGAGCCGCTGCTTTTATTTTCTATTATTTAAGTATACAATTTTTATTATCATTTTTTAAAATAAAAAATAGTTTCGACATTTTTTAAAATTAAAATCCCAATTGTTATTAAAAGTATTTCTCCATTCCTTTCCATAATAATTATATTGTATCGTCCTATCATGGAGTATCAGTAATATTCCTTTTGCATATGACAACTCTTCGTGTGTAAAGGCAAGACACTCTCTCTTTATAAGAACATAAAGTAGGAATGGATTTTTTTTTTCAAATTATATCCCTTGTTATCTTCAACAATCGAACCGTATTGTCTTAACACTAAATATGTGGGTCTACGCCTTTTGTTTTTCATAAAAATAAACTATTGTTACAGCTATAAATTATTAATACTATATCTAGTTCAAGGGAGAGAAAACATGGAAGACTATATAAATGCAAAGTAATGGAGATGATTATTTAGAATATTTTTTATAACACTTATGGAAACAGTTTTATTATTTAGGAATAGGTCGACCATCAATTAGGTGCTCATTTAACCACATTTGTCAGACCAGGTTCACACCGATTCAAATGTTTACAACAATCAGTTCACTCCATGGGCGTAGCCAGGAATCTCTTTTCGGGGGAGGGGGGTTTTAGGGAGGATCCCCCCCCCCCCCCCGCGGAAAAAATTATATATATATATATATATATATATATATATGTGTGTGTGTACATAATTAATCTTTATTACATTCTGACCCTTTCGGAAGACGTTTATTGTGCCCTAGAATAGGTTTCTCCTGGAATTAGTGGAAAACTTGTAGACTCACCGCCCTTACTAGCAAATGGGTCTGGGGGAGCTCGCAGCGAACCCCAACCCCCCCCCCCCCGGCTACGCCCATGGTTCACTCAATAGTTATGGATAATCACAATGTAAACAATAATAACACTAGCAAGTCAAACAAATTCTTACTGCGTACATGTCTATTGTGCATAAGGGAGCGAACATTGTCACTGTACTTAACGGCTTCAGATTTTCGTGCGGAAAATATTGTAACCTGCATTGCTTGCTAAACAGATGACCCTGTGTTGGTTTGTAATCGTGTTTAAAACAAACTTGTGCAAGCCAAATCTATATTTGGAGTTGGCTGAAATAATGCAAGTCATGACTAGCTGAAATGTTATGCCTTCTTTGTTTGTTTGAAACTATCTACGTTATATTCAAATGTTATCTGCAATAAACTACCCAGATTAGAATAATGTAATTCCAGTCTATAGAAGGACTATAATATATGTCAGTGAAAAGGACTTTGACAAAAATAAAACGTGGAAACATTTTTTTTTTAGAAATCTTTTATTGCGATTAATATGAAAAGTAAAAATGTATATATAACAATAATAGAAGAAAAGAAAAATGGATAATGTTTTTAGGACCCGCAACTTAGCACAAACTAAATGTCTAGTGTTTCTATCTCAAATAAATATAAGTGCTTAAATACAAATTGTTTAAGTCTACATCACAGCATTCAAATGCATTTTTTTTTTAAGTACCAATCACCTCCTAGAAATCTAATAAAAACAAGCAACTTCCAGACACACAAGGAGAATGAGGTCTCAAACTACATAGCATACTCTCCCCCCTCCACTTTTGCCCATAACCTTTTTATAAAAGACTAAAATCCTCTGATCAAGTAGTGAATTTCAGACTGATTTTTAACATGATAATAAATTCACTTAAGTAGTTAAGTTTTTTTTTTATACAAATAGATCTAGTTTTCAACCAATCCCGACATGTATTAGCCATTTTGTTATTAGCCTTTAAATCTGTTTTAAGAGAAACTATCTCTTTAAAAACAGCAACTCCATAATAACTCACCAGTTCAGAAGCACTAATTAACTACCAGTTTTCTAGAAAGACTTATTAAGATCTATGTGTGATTGCAGAGTTTCTGTAGCCAGAGGTTACTGTGTCCACCACAACTGTCAACTGCCTTAACTTGACCTAGAAAAATTCCCCACCAGAGTGGGTGGATTTAAGAACTACATCCAATCTTTGAAAGAGCAACAGTCAAGCTCCATTAGAGCTGGGTGGACTTTAGAAAGACATCAAATCTTAAGTAAAAATCTTAGCTTTGAACAGGACTTTTGGTTTTGATTGTTTTATCACTTGTGTGACATGAGCCAAATAATTAACAATTGTGAATATTTAATATAAATCTTTACATTCTAAAGAAGAACGTTCAAAAGTTCAAACACTTCTATGCAGTGTGAGAACCTCTACAAATTCAAAACATGAAACTACTGGAAGGCTTTCTCTCTCAAACTTTGTTTCATGCACTTTATTTTTATTATTTACAATTTACTTCTGTGACGGTTTGTAAAAATATGTTTTAAATAACAGACAAGAAACTTTTAAAATCTCAATCTCTAATGACAAAAAAAAAAAAAAAAAAACCTTAGATATTTTGTATTGTACTAGAGCTGTATGAATAGTCATATAAAATACAGCATTCATCATTAATCTTTGGAATCAAAGACAATGCCTTGAAAGAGAGAAGGAGAGAGCTGTAGGTAATAAAATCAAAAGTAAAATTATTCATAGATTGTAGGTATCTTCTTACCAAGACACAGAAAAACCTGAGATTTGGACAGAGTGAAAAGGATTACTTTTTGAGAACACTCATGGAATACAAAAGTATCACAGACTATAGATCAAGTGAAGTAGGGATATATTATCTGAAGTGAAGAACTAAAACTTAAAATCCAAGTATTCCATAAAACTTAGAAAATAGTAGTAACACTTAGATGCCCATGTTACCACTCTCTATACAGATCGTTTGATGGGAGTAGAATTAGTTAAATTACGAACTTGAATTTTCTTTGCTTACATTTGACAGGGAAATGAGATTATAGTTTTTAGCTGCTTAACAATTAAACTTCAGTTATGTCCATTCTGCTAGAATATAAAAACTGAATTTGTTTTGCTTACATTTGACAGGGAAATGAGATTATAGTTTTTAGGTGCTTAACAATTAGACTTCAGTTATGTCCATTCTGCTAGAATATAAAAACTGAAGAAGTTACACTTAGTATAGGCACATCCACACAGCTCCCGCACCATGGCATAGCACTCTCACATCAACGAATCCCTCCTATAGACACACACAAATTGAAAAAGACAAAACTGTAAGCACAGAGATACTTGAACATTATTTGATTAAAAAAATGAAAACAAAGGTCAGTGTGACATTTTAAGACCTTCAATCGCCTAAGCCTTTTTTTTTAAATTACAGACATCAAAATCCTTTGAGAAGAAGCGCTGATTTACAAAAGAACACAACTGCCTTGTGAATTTTATAAATGCAAACATAAAAATGATGCCCCTTTCAATAAACGTTTTACACTAGATAAATATGAAATATAATATGATAGATACAAATGGTCTTGCTAACACACTAGTTTTTTTTAATAATATCAAAAAGTGGCATAGTTATAATATCAGTTACCCAACAAACAGCATACATCAGCAGAGAGGCATAAAACTAAGAATGTTGGCAACATACACCTAAGGTTTGTGATAATGGTACAATTTTATTATAGGTTACTCTAATTACCCATCCTCATACATAAAAATAACCTACATATACCTTACCAAAGTTTGTAGACATATATTCTGTGATATAATAGAGGGTCTGGTTAGAATAGCACAAGTCTTTGATTAAAATCTAGGTCTAGTTGGATAGGATTTGCCCTGTAAGGATGGAGTTGAATACCTAACTTAACATCACTTAATAAAAGGAAGAAATGTTGGCCAGAGTAAAACACTGATCACAGAAGTGTAACAACTCACCAAGCTTTACGGTTCAATATTTTCTTTTTAAACATTTTGTTCTGTTTCAGAAATGAAAATTGTTATGTTGTCTTAGTCCAGATCTGCAAGATGTCAGGGAGGGTTCAAGTCTAGGACCAGCCTGGAATGCATAGGACATGACCAGGACATGTTGTCAAGGAAAGTTTCCCTGGTGGTAGTTCAGTTAAGCAGAGTTCATTCTGAAGGGAATGGCTTATAAGGTGTTTTGGGGCAATATTTTTCAAATGCTTTCAGGTGTTAATTAAGCCTGGTGGACTCAACAGTTACCAAGTAGAAACTCTCATCTAGAATTTTAATCTATGGTTTAGAAGCTAGGTTATTCCTTTCATCCATCAAGTCCCCGAACAATTTTAATTTACTAGATTTTAAAAGAACAACATAAATAATCTTTTTTTAAATTTATATTAATTACCAATATAGCCCACTTTAAATTTAACTTTTATTTACATTTAAACATTCTTTATATTATTACTGTTAACTGTGATATTTTATTGCTGTATTAAATTTAAACAAGGTTGGAAATACCTGGCGTTTAGTCAAAGTAAATAAAGAAACCGCTGATACAACAATCCACTAACATTGCAAACAAGTATGTTCTTTAAATAATGCAATAAATAATGTGTATAAAATACATTGTAATAATACAATTTCAAACATCTTAGATCAGTCCTATATTCAACTTCATTGTTAGAGAAACATTAGCCACTCAAAACAAAAAGTGCAGTTACAGCAGCAGCATCGTTGCTATTGAGAAGCAATAAATTATTTTTACAAAAAAAAAAAGCATTAGTAATAATTATAAACATGATACAGAAGTTTCAAGATATAGTCAACTTTTCATGAGCTTTAAAGAAAAAGTAAATTCAATAATGGCAGTCTCTTCAGAGCAGCAGTGAACTACAAAGAAAAATATCAACACACAAAGGCCATTTGCCATGCTTCATATAAACCATTTCAAAACACACACTAGATCACATGTAGAGCTGGATGAAAGAGGGTTATAACAAGGAATGAACATCTCAGATAGGTGCATATATCTTACAACATTTGACATAACAGACCAGGACGATAACATCTGTTCCAAGATATAGTAAGTTTTAATATCACAAGATAGATTTCAAATCACAAATAAAAATATATTTGAGTCAAGCTAGGTATTATGCACCACATTATTATAATAATAACAGCAATGACTCAGAACCTAATTCGTATAATCACAAGATAAAAGATTAAATCACTACAGGAAAAGAAGGACCTTTAACAATATTGGTCCCATGCATCTAACTCGGAACACAAGAAGAAAAAAGTCTGAAAAAAAAAAAAGAAAATCAAGATGTCACTATTTAAGAGCTGAAAAATTCAAAAACTCAATTGTTATATGTAATCCCCAAAAAAAAGCTATCATTCAAGAAAAACAACACAATGAATACAAAGAATTGAAGAATAAGATTATTTTTAGAACTGAAGTAATAAAGTAACTAAGAAGTACATAAAAGTATAAATTGAAGGATGAAAATTACAATATTTATTAAAGCAGAACACATTAGCAGATGCTGACTCTTAGATAATTATACTTTAATTACTAAAACTAGAGAAGCTTGCCTTGAGAGTTTGAATTGTTATGTGAAGGGAAAAAAAAGTCATATATAAGGAATATCCAAATGATGGCAAATATGTCATTGATTTCAGTTTACTATTATAATGTGATCATATCATATTGAAGACAATGCCTTATTATCATAAAGTAATGCCCTGAAAGAAGTGTTAATATGAATTTTATATTGGCAGCAAAACATTTTTTTAGTTCGCTTTATTGAATAAAAAAAATAAAATGCCTGAATTATCGCGACGTAACAATAAAGTAAAATTATCCTTTTCAGACCTTGAAATCTATGAGGACAGATGATGTAAAGGTCACCTGTTTCTATGTTAACAAAGGTCCCATGTGTCCTTCACAACAATTAACCACCTTTAATTTTCTCCAACTGAGAGCTGCCCTAAAATCTGAAATTAAAAAACCTAGTCTCTACCAAGTTTGGGACTCGAGACCAAATGCTTTATCGCTTGGCCAACATGCCCACATAACATAATGTAATGCCCTAAGAAAAAGCAAGTAGATTCTGATGTTAAGGAAATCTATTCAGATGTTTACTAAATTCGGATAAGAACATTTTTTTTTTATTTAAATACTTATCAAAATGTAAACATTTAAAAAATAAGAACAATTAAGTTTCAATGACAAGCTAAATATTAACATTAACATAAGCTATTTCTAAGCAGAAGACATAACCTTACCTCTTGGATTTGTTAGTATATCATTGAATAACAACAAACATCAGATATATTGAACAATAACAAAAGTTGTATCTCAATCAGCATGATTGGCAACTTATAATTCTTTGTACTGAAAGTTTAGGTTTTCTTTCACCCATTGAAAAAGTTTGAATACAGTAATTTGAATCTTTAGGCATCATATTGGTCAAAAATGATTCAAACAATAACATATCAAATGTATTAATTAAATATATATATATATATGAATAATGTTAACAATATGAAAGAGATATTTCATTAGACTAATTAAAAATGACAAATACTCCAAGGAATAGCTAGACTCAGTTTTCTAGGGTCATGCTGCTTAGAGAGCTGCCAGAGAGCGAACTGGAATCTTCCTTCACCATACTTAGACTGCGAGCCTTGAGCCCTGGTAGCAAAGTCTGCATGACATTGATTTTCTGTTGAGTTAAAGAGATCATTCATTTCAAACTAAAAACACACAGAGGTAAAACAATGCTTTAATATACTTTTATCTGAGGAGAGGGTTGGTCAATTAGTTCATGTCTGAATGGAGGAGGATAACCTGGGAGTTTGATTTAGAATCGGAGACTAGGGATGAGTTTGCCAAGTTCCAAAGGACTCCCAATAATGGTTTGGAAATATACAGGTGGTTAGTAGTAAGTCAGTAGTAGTTCTGTACTTGGGACAGGGCATCAGTAGTAGCTTCCTCTACTCAGAGCAGTACAGATGTATAGAGAATAGTATTGTTACCCCTGTGATGCGGACGGAATGTATTAATATATTTGAATTATTATAGTTGTACTTAGTGTGAGATATACTTATTCTAAAGGATTTATTTGATACCACAGTGATGCGGATGTAACAGTATTTCAATAAGTTGAATTATGTTGATACTATGAAGGATATCAAGCCATTTCTTATTTAACCAGTGACTTGTAATTAAATGCTTGAAGTTGCAGTATATTATCATTGAATAAAGGTTATTTTGTCTGCTGAAATCAGACTCGAGTTCATGTATAAAAGTTATGTTTGTGATGTGCTAAGTGCAGCTACAGGACACATGAATTCATACCACACTACATTTTGATGACCAGCAAGTTCCTAACCTACCATTTATCCTTGTAAAATTTACACATTGACATCTTATATTTACATTACTGTAACAGCACTCAAATACTTCAAATTGAATAGAAAGTACACTTGCTTCTTACTAATCTAGGTGTTTATCAGTAAATATACAAACACAACACATGATTATTTCTCATAGCATATCACATATCAGCCTATGTCCTTATCTAAAAGTAACAAACTTCTGGTCATTCTGGCATACATTCCAACTGACACATAATATATAAGTAAAAATATATTATACACACATTCAAACAGTTACAAACTTTATCACAAAAAAATGAACTTAGATACAATCAAACTTAAATTTTTCTAGCAATTCGAAAACAACACTATCATTTTCTGGAGAAAGTTTGCCCCATAGTTTCTATGTTGATGCCTTTTACATATTAAGCAAACAAACAAACAAAAACTAAGCATGTTATTATAATTACCTCTTCAGTGAGGAAATAAATTCTGCCTTCTACTCTAGGGGCAAGGAGGTTCAATTCACTCTCCATTCCTTGTATACTTTCCTGACGAATAAGTTTTCTTGGCTGATCACATTTCTCTAAGTCAATACTAAGTTGTTTGACCATTTCATCTCGCCTGAGACAAAATATACAG